TGCCACTTAAAGCTACATGCCCGGATTTAGGAAATTCCAAAAAAGTAAGAAGTCCTAAGTTCAGACTCAAAATGCGTGCAAGCTGCAAGTTAGCCAAAAGAGCGATATCCTTTATTGTAAGAAACTCTTAAAGAGTTGCATTTAAGCGTTAAGAAAATATTAATTACTTGGTCAATCATCTGTCGAGTTATCTTCCCTTCACTTTCTTTTCCAAGGTATTGTTTACCACTATAAGCATTATTCGTTAGCCGCGCCAAACGTGGCAATAGGCGAGGTTCTTCCTCAATTATGGCCAAGTGTTTGAAAGCACGCTGAAAATAAATGAATCACTTTCAAAATGGTTATCATCAAAAAAAAATTCTAATGGCTCACCGCCATTGCAGCCGTCATATTCGCGCGAAGCATAGCGCTCACAATCACAATAAGGTCGTCAAAAGGCACATAGGCATAGCCATGACGAACTAAAACACGTCGCCGACGAACAAGCTCTAAGGCCTGAGTAAAGTCCACCTATAAATCAATAGGTTTGAGAAAGTCATTAAAGTTAAATATGCAGTTGATTTATGGTGGTTTAATGTATAAGAGCAAGCTACTTTGGAGACGAAATTACCTTATAAAATTCTGCTTCCACCGCTTGATCAATGCTCATACCACAACCCGCTGCTAAGTCCATCATAAGCCCTTCTTGTTCCAGTTTATCTACCTAAACGCTTAATTAGTTGTTAAGCTAACAAACGTGTCAGTACCTTCCTTAAGCACGACAACTAACCACATTCAGATTGATTTTATTCTCTACCAAAAACTTGACTATCTTTGGCCTTGTTGCACTCATGAAGCGGAACCTGAAAATATGCATATTTTTAAAACGAAGTGTCTAAAACAAAGAGAATATGATCAAGTACTTGAAAAGATCCACTTCTTGAGTGACAAGCCATTTTGTGGACTCAGGCGAGCGACAGAAGGCGAGGCGAAGAATAAAGTGGCCAATGACGTCACGCCTTCTGGCCTTTTCTACATCGGCAGGCAGACATGTGCCTGTGAAAAACTACATTCAAATAGGAAAAAAGAAGGAAGATTTCAACAGTAAGAACAATCAATGAGTATTTAAAAGTAGCAATTTATCTCATGATATGTACTTGGAAGTTATTTAAATTCACCCGCAGCGATTGGCATCACTTTTGCAAGCTCGCGAGTCATAGCAACCATAAAATCATTGCTTCCCCATGTATAACGCTCCTTTACATCTTCGACAACCTATAATTTTTGCGCTAAAAACATGGAATTTTGTGCTTGGATAAACTTTACCTTTAAAGCCTTAACTCTTTCTATAGCAATATCATCAAATTCTTCTATGCTAATCTCTTCCGACGGAGGCACAGCATACATTTGAAGATTGCTATTATAGACGGAACCTTCAGAGTTGGAAATCTGGAAATTTGTTCATTGATTTGATGGATTTAGAGCAGATAAAATGCTAACGATTTACCTTCACTCGGGCTGCATTGGTTCTGATCCCATGTCGAACGATTCGAGAAGTTCCCGAATCAAACTGCATCCTGTAACTATTGCAACTAACAGAAGTAATGTGTTGCATGAAGAAGAATTTAAAGGATAAAGCGAGCAAAAGCTTTTAATGCAGCTTGTAGAAATACTGAAGAATGGAGAAATCCCTATAGCGCTGAAGATGCTCAACTTATTTTTCACAAATTCTCCTTATTTGATACCCGAGGGAAGAGAATGATGTATGAATTATCGAAAACTTGCTTTTTGTATAATTTATCCAAAAATGATTGCTAAGTTTACTTTTGCGATGCCATACAAGATTATTGAAATTACCACAAAGAAAACCAATCTGGAAAATCACATCAACATGAGAAGCAATGGAAAACTGAAGGCTTGTTAGAAATCGGATGATGGAGCAAGTTGGCGATGTTAATTCCTCGGAATTTCAAGAGAGAAGAGATGGTAAGGTTAGCGGTTTAATTAGATGCTCATCCAAAGACAGTTTTTCTCAATTATTAACATCCTACACCACTCATGCGCATCTATCAGTTTGACCGCCCAGGGCAACTACTTAATTCTTTGGGGTAATCAACTGCTCATTGCCCTCGCCTGTTACTCTCCTCTTCAAATATGGAGTAATCCTTTTGCAATTGGACTAGATACTACAGCTCTAACACAGTCCAGATCTATTATTCAATGCCACTACTGATTATTCCGCTATAATTTAAGATTTTACATGAAGAGAAGAGATACAAAGCGAACTTTAACTTGTAAACTTGAATCACTACTTGTGGATGGCGTTAACGCTAAAATGATGAAAAATTACTACTTCCCGTACATATTCTGTAGCACTTATTGCGTAAGCCCAATCAGGATGGAATCTTGTTAAGAAAGAAAGAAATAAAGAAGACGAGGAAATTTAAGTGCTCAGAACTTGCGAGCCTCCGTTTTCTTGTCTCTTTCTTTGCTCCCAAATTACAAGCAATGGAGACATCCCCGAATTAGGCAGAATATTATTCAACACTCGACATCCACTCGCAAATTTTATAAAAACCAGAAAATAGTCCTACTTTCGTTGGAAGCTCAAAGAAATGAAGTGAGCCAAGCAAAGTTGGAAATTCAAGCGTTTCAACTCCCGCCTTTGCAAAGTCGGGTCTCGGTGCGCATGCCT